AGCAGGAAAAGTGAAAAATATATGACACTGGTTCTTTGGCACACAGCTTCCAATAGAGGGGAAAGTCAAAAATAAAATATCAAGTTCTCAAATCCCAGCAGCATTTCAGTTGACCGCACTGTTGCTTTTTTCATTTCTTAAACAAAGGGAAAGGTACTTCTCCCCTCTAAGAGAAAGGGCTCCTATGAACCTTCGTCTGCCCACCAAGACGCAGCCCTTTTTAGCTCAGTTACAAAAGAAAAATTAAGTCCTGTGACTTTGTGATTAAAAACCTCTATCAACCCCCCTTAAGTGCAACTTAAAAAAGTGCAACAAACTATTTAAAACTATATACAGCCGCTCAGAGATCGTTTATCCGGTCCAGTTTCAAATCCAAAAATCCTGTCCTTTCCTTGTTGCAAACCCCTCGATTCACAACTGTGAAACTTGTCTTCTAACCAGCAGCCCCAGACACAAATTGCAATAATGTTAAAAGCTGCCAGGAAAGAAAAATTCTTGTTTCAAACGACTTAAAAACCGTTTTAAGTGTAAAAAGGAACTGGTAAAAACCCTTGAGCGTAAAATATGAAATATGATTTGGTTTAAATGAAGAGCAAAGTCTCCTTTGTTGTTACAGTAAAAAACGCCAGCTGAACATTCAGTTTATGCCGTTCAGATGGGGGTTAAATGAATGGAAAGGCACTGTATGGCAACTGCAAAAAAATGGAGCCAATGAGACCTGCATTATTACCATCAGTATTGCAAGGAATGTAAAAAAGCGCCTTTAATAAATAAAAAACCTAGGTGAAGACATCTGCATCAACACCTTCTCAATACATGGCCCTTTTTGCTTCTTGTCAGCAAACGAGGAACCAAAGTCTGGGAACTGCAGAATCGTTTGAGGGGCCCTCCCCCCTCAAAAAAACCCCAAACAAAACCCGACAAAATTCACTGTGCATTAGTGCAGAAACAAAGAAAGACCAGCAAGTGCAAACGTGAATGTAAGATTTCCCCATTAGTCCTCAGGAAGCGCGTTCCCAGGCTGGGTCTGGCACTGGCAGGCACGCTCGTGCGCTCTCCACTTGGCAGGTTAACAAAAGAACTTTCTCCTGCAACTGCAGCAGATCCCGGGCACCCGCCGCCTCTCTAGCTGGAGTCTCGGTTCTTCTGGTTGCGCATCAGTGGGCGGTGGTGATGCAGGACCTCCATGGAATGCTGCCAGTGCCAGCAGGAGCGACAGAAGTACTTGAAGCAGATCTGCGGGGAGAGGGGCAGGATTGTGGACGGGGCTCAGCTGAGCAGCAGGGCAACAGACGGCAGGGTGAGTCTCTCCAGAAGGGGAGCCTGGCTTGGGATGAGCCAGCTAGCCCCTAGCAGAGCAGCAGGGGAGGGCAAGGCAGGAGCCTCCGTAGAGTCCCTGCACAGCCCGCCTGCTGAGCTGGGAGGGCACAGCAAGGGGGAAGGTTGTGACGTCCCTCTCCAGGGCCCCAGGCTGGCTCCTTGCATTAGTCAGTATTTAAATGAGGTTTAAAAGGAGTCTAATCTAAACAAGCCAGAGATTGGCACTTCCTGCCTGGCCCTAGAGCCCTGCTTCGGGAAGCGCACCGGACAGGAAACCCTTCCATCCAGAGCCACACCACTGCGGGGCCAGGTCAAGTGGCGCCTGGACTGCTTCCTGCAAGCGGCTCCGTTCCCTAATGCAATCTGTCCCTGCCCTCACAAGGAGACAGGAGCGCCTCTGCCAACCTTAAGACGTAGAGCACCTGCCGGCGGCACAGGCCACGCCTACGCCGGGGGCACAGCGGGGTTAGTGAGCACAGGGTGGTTTTCCAGCCCAGAGTCACACCGCACTTGCAGACCAGCCTGGCTCGGCTCTGGCTCAAGGCAGCCTGCTGCCCATTCTATCACACCCATGCTGTCCTTGCAGCCCAGTGAAACAGCGGCACCGCCCACGTTCCTGCACCAGCCTTACAAAGCTGCCACCACGCAGGCAGGGTGGCGCAGGCAGCTGGATCCCCTGGAGAATGCACTCCCAGCTGCGACACTGGAGGGGCCCTGGACATGGAGCTGGCCGCCGGTTCCCAGCCTGCTCCTCCCCACCAGACCCCACTTCAAGCCCGCAAGAGCCTGAGTCCAGCAGCCCATTCCAGCCGGCTTTGGACCCGCGCTGGACGGGCTCCGGGTCGCAGCCTGGGCAGTGATTTGTGTGAGTGTCACGTGGCCAATCACGCTGCCGCCGGCCGAAGGAGTGCCTGCCTCCACTCAAGGCATGCCTGCCTGTGAAGGGGGAACACGGGCTGTTCATGCAGAGTGAGGGCACCTCGCCCACCCTGGGCTTGTAAAAGGGACCCCTATGTGCACATTCATCCCTGGCCCAGAGCGCTGGCCAGTGGCCTCGGCCGTGCAGCTGGATTCTCGGGGGGTCTGAGGCATCTGCACAGGAGCAAGAGAATGGGTCCGGGGCCAGCGTGTCTTCCGCCAAGCGCACTGGTCCCCTTGGCCCGGCCCCACTGGGCAGTGGAGCAGGCAGCCCTGGGTCGACCCAAGGGCGGGCGGTGAGAGCAATCCCTGCTCCGGCCGGCCAGGGGTGGCCATGTTACCTGGTCTCTGCAGAAGAAGGGACCTGGCTGGGAAGTGCAGACTTGACACATGGAATCTTCCAGATAGGGGTCAATCTGAACCTGCAGGAGAGCAAGAAGGGACTGAGGGGGGCAGGAGCAGGGCTGCTCTGACTGGGCACAGGCAGCTCGACATGCTGGGACTCCGCCCTCAGCACCTCCCCCAGACAGGCTCAGGCCAGGGGGAAGGGGCCTGGTTGCGGAGGACAAGCTCTCGCGTTTGGCTCCCAGGCCCACGGTGGCCGGAGGAACAGCCTCCCCAGCTGACCCCAAGCTGCCCTCCGCCAGGCACCCAGCCAGCTGCCGCAGGGGCTGGAGTGTCTCTTCCCCGGGCAGAGCCAAAGGGACCAAGTCTCTCCACACCGATAGCCCCAAGGACAAGCGGAAGGAGCCTGAAGCCGAGCTGAGCACCAGGCCAGCCTGGTCTAGAGCAGCAGCAGCGATCGGGCTCGGGGACACGGCAAGGCCCCTCCTGTAACACGCTGGGGTGGGATTGCCACATGGTGTGCAGTCTCCATCCTCTCCTGCCCCCCAGCCAGGTCAGGGGCCTGTCCCAGAGGCTGGGGAGGGAGATCTGCCTGGTGCCCGCTGCATGCAGTGGGCGTGTACCAGGCTGAACCAACGCTGCGACTGCCCAGTGGGCTCCAGGACAGGCCCCCCGTGCTCCATCAGAGGCTGCTCCAGGGCAGGGTGCACGGGCACGACCGATACTAAGTGCCTGCCGAGGGAACCTGCCCAATCACCCGTCCTCTGGCCAGCTGCAGGAGGTGTCCAAGGAACAGACCCGACCCACTCCCCAGCATGGAGCTAGATTCCCCTTTGGTTCCCCCAGCTAGCAGAGGACCAGGGCCTCAGAAGCCAGCAGGCCGGGCCCCAGCAGAGCTGCTCACCTTTTTAGTAAACTTGGTTGTTTTGATCTCCACGAAGGCAGCGCTCACGGCCTTCAGGTAACTGCGCTGGTTGTTAAAGGTAACACGGCCCGACCCTGCAAGGAGCCAGAGCATTAGCACCACCGAGGCAAAGGCTGCGGGAGAACCCGCAGGGCGAGCGGCTCCCGAGCCAGTCCCAGACCCTTCCCAAGAACCCAACTGCAGCATCTCCAGGCTCTGCTCTTCCAGGCCCAAGGAAAAGCTGCCCCAGCAGGCGGCCTATTTCTCCTAGGAGTGGGCTGTCGGCACGTGTTCTACCCTGGCTGCAGGGCTATGCCTCCTCTGCCCCGCCTCACAGCATAGCACAGAAGTTCAGCCTAGTTTGCCTCAGGGTG